TGATCGAACACTATGTCGCACGTTCTGTTATGTTCTTTCTTTTTTTTTTTTTTTTAATTCTCGTTTCATTTAGAACGTTCTGAAAGTAATTTCGTTTTTTTTTTTCTTTTTTTTTTTTTTTTTTTTTTTTTTTTAATTCGAATGATCGTTTCAATCGTGGAATTAGGATGAGTTCGATACTTCGTTAATCTTCAAGGATAGTTTTCTATTGATAGTATTCGATGAAATATTATTTTACAAATGAACAAAGTTGTCCTAGTTGAATGGAAAATGGTTAACGTGGTTTCAGATAAAAGTCGAATGAAATATTTGTAAATGTAATTTCAATTCTTTGTCATGTGGTTCACCAAATATGATGGAATCTTGGGGTACAGGAAGGATAGGTACCCCACCACCCTTTTTGTCAGTACCATCAACTGGAATCAACAATATTGGTGGTGGTGGTGGTAGTGCAATATCAATGACAAATGCATATGTTATACAATCGAGTACTATACAACGATTAATATATTTACAAGCGTTTTCTATTGACATAATATTATTCGTGAAAAATATTGTTTTGCAAGTGAACAAATTTATCCTAATTAAATAGAAAATAATTAAACATGGTTATATTCGGTAATCGTTAATCGATAAAAGTCCAATGAAATATTTGTAAATGTAATTTCAGTCCTCTGACATGTGGTTCACCAACTATGATGGAATCTTGGGGTCCAGGGAGGATAGGTACCCCACCACCCTCTTTGCCAGTACCACCAGCTGGAACCAACAATGGCGGTGGTGGTGTTGGTGTTGGTGGTGTTGGTGCAACATCAATGACCAGTGCAAATGTTGTAAAACCGAGTACAACAGCCCCCATTGCAAGTCCCGAGGGTGTAAGTGACGTAAGTATAATAAAAATATTATCCTTTGAAAACCACCCTTCCCCCTCTTCGATATTGCATCACCAATTAAAAAAAATTAAACTATAATACTATCTAAAAATTGTTTCTTCCCTTTTTGGTTTAATCAGTCTATTCTTTAACGTTTCTTATCGATTTTTCTAAAACAAATTATATGTCTATGATAAATCTGAACATATGACGTCATTTCATGCGAGATACCCTTCCGCTTATGTTAAAGGTTATCGTACTAACATAACCGAGTCGAGTTAATAGCATAGTAGGAGGAAACGTATTTAGGCAGATTAAGTGCTTCTACATTAGAGATATAGGATGAATATATATATATATATATAGGGTGAATCAAAACGTTCTTACGTTCATTATTGAAATGAAAATTTATCATTCATACTTTCATCTTTTTTTCTTTTCTTTTGATATGATAATAAATGCGTTTATAATGCTTGGAAAAATTCATATTACGTAAAGTTGATTTATTTAATGATATTTTCGTTCAAATAAATGAATTTTTCAAAATGTAATTATAAAAATTATTAAAAAATAAATCTCTTCTATTAATATTCTTACGAATAAAATATCAATTGAG